GATTACCACAGACCTTTTTTGACATGAAAGAAGATATGGAACTAAAAGATGTTTGGAGAATACATAATTCAAAAGAATTGGACTACACTTTTTTTTCTGACAGACACAGATCCTTCTCTAGGATTGACTTCATTTTGTTGACAGATGATTTACTTGTTAAGACAAAAAGAACAAAGATTTTTCCAAGAACTTTGACTGACCATAGCCCAGTATGGATAGAAATTGAGATGGACAAGGTTGAGAGACGTTCTTGGAGATTAAATGAGAATTTGTTTAGATATGAAAAAAATACAACAGAACTTAAAAAGCATTTGAAAGAATTTTTTGAAATAAATTTGAATAAAGGTACCCCAATTGAAATTGTGTGGGACGCAAGTAAAGCTTATATGAGAGGGGTACTTATCTACATGAACTCTAAACATATATTGTTCTGACAAAAGAAAAGATCTGAACTGGAAATAGAAATAAAGAATAAAGAACAGTTACTTATTAAAAATCCAACAGATGAAAGAATACGTAGTGCTATAAAACTTTTGAAAGACCAATTTCAAATGCTTATGGCGGAACAAGTTGCAACAAACTTACAATATGTGAAGCATAACACATTTTGTAACGCTAATAAACCAGGTAGATGGTTGGCTTACACATTGAGGAAAAAACAAAGTATACGGACTATTGATAGTATTGATATTGGAGGGAAAGAAATCTTTCAACAAAAATTAATTAAAGAAGCTTTTGTGGACTATTATACTAAATTATATGCTAAAGAGGAGGTGCAGAATGGACTTATAGAAAAATATTTAAACGATAAAAGAGTTACAAAAATTACTGATCAACAAAAGGACAGAATGAATTATCCTATAACAGAGGAGGAGATAATAGTAGCAATTAAACAGTTAAAAACAGCCAAAGCTCCTGGCACGGATGGTTTGACCGCAGCGTATTACAAAACTTTGCAAGCTGAAATGGTGGAACAACTTAGAGATTTATTTTGCAATATTCAGCAAGGGGGTAAAATACCCCCATCATGGACAACAGCTTACATATCTTTGATATCAAAAGAACAAATCGGTCCTAAAAAACCAGAGAACTATAGACCAATATCTCTTTTGAATACAGATTATAAAATCTTTGCGAAAGTACTAGCCAACAGGTTGATGCCAGTAATTCAAAAGGTGATTCATGATGATCAAGCGGGATTTATCGAGGGCAGGTACATGAAGGACAATGTAAGGCAAGTAATAGATTTATTGGAATATCTTGAGAAGAATAAACAGATTCCTGCAGTGCTGGTCTTTTTGGACGCAGAGAAGGCCTTTGATAGAGTGGATTGGAATTTTCTACTAAAGACTTTAAAAAAGATGGACTTTGGGGATCAATTTATACAGGCGATTTCAGCAATTTATCAAGAGCAAAAGGCACAGATCATTATTAATGGAAGTCTGACAACAGAGTTTAAAATTGAAAAAGGAACAAGACAGGGATGTCCGTTGTCCCCACTTTTATTTATTTTAACACTAGAAGTCTTGCTAAATACAATACGGGACTCTAATATCTTGAAAGGTATAAAGATTAGGCAAGAGGATTACAGAATAAAGGCATTTGCAGATGATCTGGTTGTTACCCTATCACAACCAATGGAATCAATAATCTTGATGAAGGACATTATACAAGACTATGGTAAAGTTTCAGGTTTTAGACTGAATCCAAAAAAGACTAAAATGATAGCTAAAAACATGACACAAGATCGTAAATATGAGCTTGAAAGGAGGGCAGGTTTTGAGACTGTACCTAAGGTAAAATATCTAGGAGTTCAGGTTGCAGAATCAAACATGAAATTGTTTCAAAATAACTATGAGGTGTTGTGGCGAGAGGTGCAGAAAGATATGGAGACTTGGAAAAAACTGCAGCTGTCTCTACTTGGAAGAATAGCAGCAGTTAAGATGAATATTTTGCCAAGATTTCTTTTTTTGTTTCAAATGATTCCGGTGCTTAAAAGTGATAAACAATTGAAAGTTTGGCAATCTGGAGTGAATAAGTTCGTCTGGAACGAGAAGAAGCCGAGAGTGAAATTGAAAATTATGCAAGATGTTCCAGAAAGAGGAGGTCTTAAACTTCCAAACCTACAGCTATATTATGATGCAGCAGCTTTAACTTTAACAAGTGATTGGTTTGGAAGTAAAAAGGTTGCAATATTGAATGCAGAAAGTTTTGATCTTGAATTTGGATGGCATGCCTACTTATTTTATGATGACAAAGTTGATAAAGTATTTAAAAGTCATATACTTAGAGACTCTTTGATGAGAGTTTGGAAGAAGCACCGACTCAAATGGGATTATAAAATACCGTTATGGCTGGATCTTGGTCATACTTTGTGGAATACAAATATAATGTCACTCGGGGGGGTTTTATACAAAGAGGTTCTTTTTACAGATGCGGGCAGATGGCAGCTGAAGACATTGCAGACACTGTTGGACGAAGGGATTAATTTAACTTGGTTACAATATAATCAATTACAATTGAGATGGAAAGAGGACCAAAAAACTGGTATTATGTTGCATGAGGAAGAATTGGTTAGACATATAAGAGAGAAAGGTCCAATGCATATCAAGAGGCTTTATAATGTTTTGCTAGAAAGGGATTCAGAAACTGAATTAGTTAAAGATTGTATGATTAAGTGGGCACAAAATTTTGAAGAACCAGTGATGTTGGAAACATGGGAAAAAATTTGGGTTCAGAATGTTAAATTTACACAGTCGCAGAACCTGAGGGAAAATTTCTATAAAATGTTTTATAGATGGCATTTAGATCCCAAAAAGTTGTCATGTATGTACCCTAATGTTCAGCCAAAATGTTGGAGATGTGAATGTTTGGATGCTACGTATTATCATGTTTGGTGGACCTGTAGGAAAGTTAAGGCTTTTTGGATAAAAATTTGGTGGGTCATGCAGAATGTTTTGAAGAAAAAAATTCAATTCTCTCCACAATTGTTTTTATTGGGTATAGTTAAGGGTTTTACATTGGGTGAAACAAAATTGATATTGTATATGATAACAGCAGCAAGATTGTTGATAGGTAAATACTGGAAGAATGAAGCTTTGCCCACTATCAAGGAATGGACTTTGAAGATGGCCAGTTTTGCAGAGATGGCGAAGATTTCAGCATATTTAAAAGATTGTTCACAAGAGACTTATGAATGGGAATGGAAAAGGTGGATAGAATATGTTCAGAACAAATATTAAACTAGAAAGTATCAAATAGCTTTTATTTGAAAATAATGTATTGGAAATATTTTAAAGTAATGAGGTAAAGAGAAAAATTATACAGGGGAGGGAGGGGTTCAAGTTTATATATAAGTGTTATATTAAGGGTTTTTTATGAGTATGAGTATATTATAGGGAAGTCTGGGGGGAGGGGAGGGTTAGGGAGGGTTAGGGAGGTTGGGAAGTCTGGGGGGGAGGTGGGGGGGGGGAAAAGGGGTGAAAATGTAATTGTAAAACTTTTGCAATAAAAAAAAAAGATACTTAAAAATATAGGCTTTGTAGCTACTTCGTCTGATTTTTGCTTTTTCACGAAAAAAAATAATGATTCTATTGAATATGTTTTGATTTATGTTGATGATATATTGTATTTTGGACCTGACAAAATTAAATGTGATAATTTCGCTGAACAACTAGGCAGAAATTTCAACTTAAAAATATTAGGAAAGGTAAATAAGTATTTAGGAGTCCAAATTGACAAAACAGATAAGGGGTTCAAATTATCTCAGAAAGACAAGATTATGGAACTCATACAAAAATGTAACTTGATTAACTCAAAAATTTGTGATACTCCTATGTCAACTGATTTTTATAGGAATGTGTATAATGAGTACGAACCATTCAAGGATAACACTTTGTATCGATCGATTATTGGGTCCTTATTATACATATCTAATTGGACCAGGCCTGATATCACCCTTGCCGTAAATTTGTTGTCAAGACATGTAAGCAATCCTAACTTATACCATTGGGAGGGAATTAAGAGGATTCTAAAATATCTAAAATCTAGCATTGATGTGTGCTTATTCTTAGAACCATTCATTTCTGAAAAACCAACTTTGACCTGCTACGCTGATGCTGATTGGGCTACTGATTCAAAAACCAGAAAAAGCACTTCTGGATATGTTTTTCTTATAAATGGCTGTGCGGTGCACTGGTACACAGGCAAACAGAATTTAATTGCCACTTCTACAGCGGAAGCCGAATACGTTTGCTTATCCAAAGCGGTCAACAATCTAACTTGGTTCGATGATTTGTTATCCAATGTGTGGGATGAACCTGTTTATCCAATTATTATCAATGAGGACAATAAGGCAGCAATAGATATATCAGCTTCCGAAGCAATAGGTCAACGATCTCGACATATCGATATCAAATATAAACATGTGAGACAACTGTCAAGTATAGGATTTATTAAAGCTGTCCATTGCGATACTAGTGAACAAATTGCTGATATCCTCACTAAGCCATTACCAACCAAACAACATATGTATTTGACTTCCAAACTTAATGTACATATATAATCTTAATAACCCACCATTAGTTAGGTATTTTAGAGGGGGATTTGTTACAGATGAAAATACCTAACCTGATATCTGTAAATATGTATGCTTGTGTATATGTCATTGTGTGATGTCATTGTGTCACTTACCATTGGTTACTACTTACCATTAGCCCCGCCTCCTCTGTATATAAGTTCTCACTCCTCCCAGATTGATGCCTGTCTAATTGTGTTCCTGAGGAAGAAAAGAAATAAATATTACTATTACAAGAAAGTCTACAGTCTCTTATATATGGGCCTAACCAGGATAACCAAACTAGCAACAGTACAGTTTCTACAATAGTCTCAAAGAAATGGTGGCATAGAATCAATAAAGGAAGGATGGAAAAGCAGGGACAGAGTGAAATGTAAATGACAAAAATTAAAATATTTTTATTTATTTTAAATGATTAAACTGACTTGTTAAATTGTCCTGTGGCATGTTGTCCTGTAGTGCGTTGGCCACAGCGAGTTGGCTCTGGCAAGTTGTCCCATTCCGATTCCACCGTTAACTGGATTTTCTGAAATCTTGCTTGGCCCATACTATAGCGAAGCAACAGAAAGGGACACATTATCAACCTATAAAAATACTCAAGAACATTTAACCCAGGTAAGAAGGGTTAAATGTGAGAATTCTGCTAATCTTTGCACCACTTCTTCAGGGACTCTCAGAGAAGATCTTCTTTGATACATAATATAAATATTGATAATTATCTTGTTCTGTTATTGTCTACTTCTGGATAAATTTTACCTTCTCACTACTTTCAGGTATTGTAAATCATTACCACACATAACTTTTGTTAGAAGAATATAATATTGGGCCACTTAGTTTCTTTGCCTACCAAAATGTTTTATGAATTCTGTGTGTGAAAGTTCAATATACCACTTAGTTCAAAGATCTACCATGTATGTTTACAAGCATTTGAAAAATAGGCCTTACAGTTGTTTTGCATGATTTTTAAAAAATTGATACATTTGTAACAGCTTGCTAAAAAGGGAAGGAATGTAGTAAAATGTGGTTTGAGCAGCTATTATTGTAAACGGCAGCACTCCCTTCTCTACTAGGATTCAAGTGTTGTAGAGCCAGGAAATGACTTAGCACTGTATCTCCCTGCAGACTTCACTGCTACCCAGGCAATAACTGCTATTTGGAATAAATTTCTATCAAAATACTTACTGCCAGTCTGGAAATACTACACAAATATATATGTATAAAGTTCTAACTTTATGGAAATATTAACAGGAATTTTAAAAGTTACAAGTTATTTTAAATAGTTATTAAGTACACAAGTTGTTACAACACTTTTCAAAGGAGAATGTCTTAATTCAATGTTACTCAAATTTTCTGCAATCCTGACTACTGAATAAACATGTAGAAAATGCAAGACCCTCCTAATAAATAAATGTCCCCTCCCAACATTTTCATTTTTAAGAACACAGGAGTTCACATTTTTAGTAACTAATATTACTTCAATTTGGTCCATTTGTAAAGATACTTTAAAATAAGCTTTGTATCAAAATTGAATTCAAAAATGATTTACCACTTGAATTATTGTATGTGCCCAATGCCACAGTAACAACTACTTTTGTCATAAACTTGCAAGTCAAGAATATTCTTCAAGAAAAATCTTTTGAGAACTAAGGAGCTACTGATAACAGATGCACAGCCCAATGAAATCACATGTTAAATATGCTTGTATTTCCTATTTGCTCATTTCTTCTTCAGCTGCTTGTCAGAAATCACATTTAGTTGAGCACAGACAGACCGAAGGTGGTGACTGTGCTCTTTCCAGATGGTTATTGGCAGAAATAGAAAAATAATGCTGAGGCAGTGACTGGGCTCCTGCCAGGTGATTGTTAATACACATCAAGTTTCTTCATAACCAACCTATGCTAGCGATGATTAATTACAAAAGCCAATCTCTTTATGTTCTGGTTAGTAAGATTTACTAAGAAGAATGTTAAAGTAGAATGGAAGAATTCCAGAAAATTCTCTACTTTCAGGTAAGAAAACTATAAGTGGGGAAATTAGTACAGGAAGGGTTCTGGATCTTCTGCTTTCAGTGTAAAAGGGAAGGAAGTCTGTCCTTTTCATGAAGGAGGGGCAGGCTGCATTTGTTGATTGTTTTAGAAAAGCTATTAAGAGGTTTCATCAGGGTGAGAATTGGTTCTTATAGCAAAGACAGATGTTCAGGTTGATTCTTGGTGCATGATAGGGAAGCAATCTGAGATAGCAAGTAGACTCTAAGAGCTATGAATGTAGTTGCTGCAGCAAATTACCTAATGGATCACCAAAGTCCTCACTTTGAGAATTACTGAGGATTATTTTAAGTTAATATGTAAATTAAAATTTACAAGAGCGGCCAGTGCATTAGAACCTCTTCAGCTTTTAGGATCTTTTTGAGAAAGGAGGTAATTTTATAATAACTTTTCACCAACTTTTTCTCTAATAGAATGAAGAGGAAATCTACGCATCTATATAACTGCAGGTATAGTTGCAGATAAGTCATAAACTCGGGGAATGAATCTCTGAGTGATTTATGATTATGAATCATAAATCATTATCTTGCACATTTTGGCAGAATGATAGCTTTTTCCCTTGGTGATTTCAGTGGACCCATTACTGTCAAGTTGAAGTAATGAATTGCTGACCTGGATTTACCCCAATAATACTCCTTCTATAAATATAACATAATGAATTGTATATCTCAGGATATACAATTATGTTCTAAATTGTTCCAAATACTAATATACCAAAGCACCCTTTTTAATCTTAATAATGTGAGCCAATGCTCAGAAATAGGTACATATTTCATGTTTGCCCATTACATTTTCTTTTACTCTGCATGCAAGCTCTTATTTTCCTATTGTTGCTTTCTTATGTCAGTATAATATTGGATTGATTCACAAAAGATTTTGAGATCTCATCTAATGAAAGTATTAGTTCCTCCTTTACTAAGTTTGTGAATCTTTCTTCAGGCTTTTAATGCCAATGGAATCCTTTCTTTTAAAAGGCTTGTCTGCCTACGCAACTGTGTCTGCCATGGGAATACAATAATATATTCTCTGATGTATTGTGTGTATTTTTCCTTGTAAAAGGCAAAAATGAAAGTTCCTCAAAGGTTTTGCATCAGTCTAAGCAAGGCAGAGAAGCAGCAGAACCACCACTTCATCTGACACTTTAGTTCAAACTCGTGGCCCGTGGACTGGATGCGTCATGTGTTGGCCCCCCCAGCCTGGTTTAGCGAAGAGGGAAAAAGTCCAGATACATCACGATACACCACGGTGACAACGTGAGTTTGACACCCCTGCTTTAGTTCATTCATCTGAGAAGGTAGATACACTGAAATTTGTAGTTTAGGATGTTGGGAGGACAGTGAGCATTCTTCTAGGTAAAACAGACCAAAGCCTATAAGCAGTTTATATAGTTTTGCTACACTAATTAAGCTAGGTGGTTGTTATTTATCTAAAATCTCAAGAACATTTCATAAAATAATTTGAGGATCAGAATGCTATTTCCAACCCATTTATCATTCCTGCTCATGGCAGAGGAAACAAAATTCCTTTGTATAAGTAAGATTTTCTTAAGATCTCTCCACTAAAATAGCATGGTTTTAAAATATCAAGAAAAGTCTTCACAGATAGAGAACAGGCAACTTTGCAGGTACCTTTCTTATATATAAAAAGCTTATTGAGAATGGTATATGAGGTGATAAGAGTATCTAATGGTATCTAACACAATAGAAAACCAGATAAATAAGTAGTTCTTAGGGCTTTTTTGCCATGTCAGAAACTGTAATGGTATGTGGGAATGACTTGAGAAATGGGGAAGAGCTGCGGACTACACAACCATAATGTCCACAGAAACAAAAGAGGAATGGAGAAAGTGTCTCAGAAAGGACCATCTATGGTTTTCTGTACAGTAAAAGTAAAGGAGGAGAGAGGTGCTTACAATTTTGCAAGATTCTGTTAATGGTGACCTTATAATAAAGGTAGTGTTACTATTCATGGCTTGTGCTTTTTGTTTGGACTACCTCAAAGAGTTAACAGAAGCATTCTAACAACAACTGGGAACAGAATCAGTAATTAGCCAGAGAACACCCAAAACTTCACAAAGGCCATAATTTGAGCCATGACAATCTGTGAACAGAGAGAAGCAGATTCAGAACCACAAGACTTGTTTGTAACAGTTCAGAGAATTCCATGAATAGGTCCAAATGCAGTAAGAGTGGCAAAAATGCCAACCTAGAGTCAGAGTTGTTTCCAAAAGAGGAGCAAAAGCCTAGATTGCTGTCCTCTCAAAGAGGTATGCCGAGGTCCTTTGCCCAGCTTTCCGTAGCTGCACAGATACATTTGGGCTATGCTCTCTGCCAATAAGTAGCCCTTTATTATCTGAATCTGCTCTCATCTGCAGAAGCTCATTGCCTCCTGGAGTGTGTATGTATCTACTGGTCCTTCAGGCTGCTGGTTTGTGAGGTTTGTCTTTTTAATTTCTGATGTAGGGAATTCACACGAGCCTATTACACAATAGGCTGCCTCTGTAGCTTCACATCCTGTAGAACAGCTTTCCCCTGAGACTGTTACGTTGAGTTTTCATTTGAAAATTTGGCAGCAGACCCTAAGTGCAGTAGAGTGATGTGTTTCCTGGTAGTCTATTTTCTCTGTTATAACTATGGAATTGATTATTCTCCTTGAAATGTATGTATTATGATCTGGTTTTGCATTTTGTCCTATTATTCCTAAACCTGTTTTAATTCTAATATTAAGTTACCTCAGTGAATGGTGCAGGAGAGAGAGAATACAGCGGTTACTTACAGACAAGTATGTGACTGAGTAGATTTTCTGAGTACAGTTCTATTGCACTGGGTTGCATACATTTATTTTATAAGATTTATGGGATTTAATCTGGAAAGGAGAGGAACGTTACTTTCTGCCTTGCTTAGAATCAAAGAAATGGACACACATTAAATTATCTGAAAATAAAGGAATTATGATTTATGCTAAGGGAGTCAAACTGGCAGCCCGTGGAACAGATGCATCATTACGCCCACCCCAGCTCCGCAATAGGGAAAAACATTGTGAAACATCACGTGATGGCAATGTGACATGGTGAGTTTGATTGGGATGAAGAAAATTCCTAGGCTCTAGAAATGACAGGGCTATTGTATTTTAATGCATTTCATCCATACATTTATACACTACAGCATAATAACAATGTAACTATAAAAGGTAAAGTATGTTGGTAAAATATTATATCAGGTTATTTAATAGGGTATATAACAATTCAACTAAGCTGCTGTCTGTGCATCTAATCATTTTGCCATCAACCTGGCATGCAAATTGGGAACAACTCCTTCCAGGATAAATAAATACATGTAAGTAGTAAAGCCTAATAGGTGCAGGAAAAGAATGAGAGAAGATCTCATAGAGTTATAATCAATATCAAGTAGCAAAGTCATGCTTTTCCCAAATACCTTATACGGCTATAGCCAGCCTTAGTCACTTCTTGCCAATTTATTTTCCCTTTGTGTTGGTGCCATGGT